GTTCATTTGTCTCTTGGTTACACATGAACATTTTGACCATGACCTGTATTGTTACACAGTATGTTTCTTACTATTGAATACAGACTTTTTGAATTTTTTATTCGTACACATTTGCAGCACTAATGATTATTTTCATCGTGGGGAGCTGGCACGTGGACATAATGTCTTAATTCTTTTTTCACCCTTTTCCTTTCCTTCTCTCCCCCATCTCCTGATTCCTTTCTCTCTGGCAAAAGATCCATCTACCTAGTTCCTAGTATCTATCTTTTATTCTCTGTTTGTATTTGGGGTTTCTCATGGAAACCACAAAATATTTAAGGCTCATGTGTCTGTGAAGAGTATAAATTTGATGAGGAACAATTTAAAGAAGCCAAAAACTTCACATGAGGAAGTAGAAATGTTTCTAACGAAACCATCTTCCTTTTGCAACTCACAGCAAGTTGAATGTTCAATGAGTTCACTACTCCCTCGTATTTTGGTTATACAGTATTTTCTGGCTACTAAGCTTTCAGTTCCTGGATTTTTGCTTTAGATCAGCAAGATAGCATCCACTGAATTACCCACTGTTATAATGTGCTGAGAAAAACTAACCCATGGAAAATTAAGATAAAAGTCAGCAAATTTTTGTCTTTGGCTATATATATACACACACACATATAAAGTCATTAAATTTTATTCCATGTACATAATAAATATCATAAATTTTAGATACTCTATTACCCCACAAAAGTTAACTTACCCAGTTTTTATTATCATGCAGCCACGTTTTATTCTCATTTGGCTTTCAGGTTTTTAAAAGGAAAAAAAAAAAAAAAGGTATTTTCCATGAGATTTTCTCCTCTAGAAAAAGCTTCTGCAGAAGATCAGTTTCTCCAGCCAGAACTTGCAGCTGAAGTACGGCGGGGCGGGCACAGAGCTGGACCAGAGTCCCGGAAGCAGCAGCCTCTGGCCAGTGTCAGCGCTGCGACACCCAGTCGGGCCCCTTGTGGTCCCCCCCAGTGAAGCAGCGACCCTGGCTAGTGTGCCCTCACTAACGCGCCTCAGCATACAGGCCAGTGTGTAGAGGCCGTGTGGGACCCCTATGAATGGTAGGTAAGCCAGAGACCAGAGGAGACTTTAAACATGGTGTGAGTCATCCATAATCCATAGCCTCTTTCTAGAGCCTGTTTCTTCAAACAGCCAAGAAGGAAGAAATCAAGGGAACAGACAGCTCTTACTGCCCAAGTACTGTGCGCTTTCTTACATTTGATTCGCACACACCAGGCCTGTTGTAGGAAGAGGTACTGCCACTTTCCCACTGCGAGGGAAGGAGTTTGTGCGATGAAGCTGCCGGCCCTGAGCGTGCAGCCAGTCAGTGTGAGACTACATAGGCTCATTTAGGGGAAAACCTGGCTCCGGATTTACCTGGGACAGACTCTTCCCTCCATCCTCAGCCCCTGACGGCCTGTCTGTTGCCCGTGTGGGGCACCCGGACCGTCACGTGTGGTCGTGGCACCCAGGAGCCCAACTGCCGTCCGCTTGACATGGCCAGGTCTTGGCCCACCCAGAGGCACACAGCCGGACGCCGGAGGAGCCGAGGAACAGCCGGTGGCCTGGGCCGGGCGAGCAGGAACGCTGCGTCGCTGCTCTCCTTGGGCCCCAGTGAGGACAGACGTGAGGCGGAGCAGGGAGTACAGCGAGCCACCCCAGGCTCCCAGTGCCAGTGACGGCCTGGGGCCCCCCGGCAGCAGCCGGAGCTCGTCATCCCTGCGCACCCGGGCTCAGTGGCTTTCCCACTTTGAGAAAGAAGGTGTTTCTAATGTAAATGCCGCTCCTGATCACAGGTAAATTGCAGTTGTTTAGGGAAAGGTAGCAGTAAGGTTTTCTTGAGTGAATCATTGTCAGCTGACTTAATCTTGAGCTAGTTTATTTCTAAAAAACATTTTTTTAAGAAAGTACTTTGTACGCAGCCTCTCAACTTGTAATCCCAGTTTTAAATCCCTGGAATTTGCTGACTGCTCACATGGGTGGTGGCGCCCCCACCACTTAGGTGCATCCCCGGGATTCGGGCTGAGTTCTCCACTCAGCTGTCCTGTGGTCCCCTCAGGCTGCCGCGTTTCCGTCTTAGCTTGTCAGGGACCACTGTGAGACCTGTTCACCTGCATGGCCTTCGTTCCCTTGGTCCGTGGCTGCGGATGGGAAGGATGGGGAGGAGCGGATGACAGTGCGCAAAGTATGCAAAGTGATCCCCAGGTCGTGCTGGGCTCAGGACCACAGCTGTCTGTCCCTTGGGGTGGTGTCACCTCAGGAGGCAGCCTGGAGAGATTCGGGAGCTGGCTCCGGGTCCCTGGAAAGGAAGGGTGCACCTAGGATGGGAACCTGGGCTTCCTGAGGCCCCTCACACTGCCTCGGGAGACGCTGGGAGGTGGGTTTCTGTTGGCCAGGTTGGATTCCTCTCACTGCAGCTGCCCTGCTAAGGGCCCGTCTTCGCCTCCTGATCCTTCAGTAAGCCCTTAAGTCTCTTAACCAATTCACTTGCCCTTTTTTGAACTTGATCCGATCTAAATGTGTCCCGAGTGCCTGTGAAGTGCACAAGGGAGCGTAGTGATACAGTACAGGGTGTCCAGAGTTTTATGAGGTAGGATTAGACTTTCCCCGTCACATGAGGCCATTCTCTGCTCGGGTGAACCTGAAATGGCATCCGTCTTCATGAATGTGACTTGTGTTACAAACACATCTGCCACGTGTGATTCACTGCCTTGTCTGTGGTCTGTCACCTCCGCCTTCAGTGCTCTCGGTCGACTCCCCCCCCCACGCACATGTGCGCACACACGTGCACGCGCACACCCCCCCCCAACATGAGCTGTAGAGTGGAGGTTGATATCGGAATCCTTAACACCCCCAACCCCCAAAACACAGCTACACAAAAACAGCCAAGCCGTCTGCTTGAGGAAAGCACCCCTTTCCCCGGCCCCTCATCCCTTCTCATTTGCTCCTAATTTTGTGAATTAGGACAAAGCTCTGAGTTTTGTTGACATCAGGAACCTGTATTTCATCCACTTAGACCTCTATCCTGTTTGCAGTTCTAAAGAGAAACCTTGTGCTCTGGCGTGATTGACATTAATGTTATTGTGCTGTCTTCTGAAGGAAGACATTTAGGATTCATATTTATTGCATTTTAAAAAAATTAGGATGTAGTTCAGTGGTTCTGCTGCCTGCCTCGAAAGCGCAAGGACCCGAGTTCGATCTCTGGTACCAAAAATAAAATAAATAAATAAATATTATTGACAGATTTAGGGAGTTGGTCTAACAAGGCCCATCTTGAATTTCTGTGAAAAGTGACATTGCGTTATTTCCTGGACTTCATGACCCAATTAAAAGTGTTTGAAAAGATCAGTACCCCCCTAGAATCTTATTTATCTTTCTGCCCTGAATACTCATGCTGCCTTATTTTCTGTGTATTTGCTATCATGTCTTTCTCCCATACAAGACTACAAAGTCCTTCAGAGTAGAAACTGTGACCCGCTCACATTGGCGTTCCTGTACGTGACAGTAATGCAATAAAATGCCAACTGAGTCGAATCTTTGAATTTCTGAGCATTGCTACACTTACTTTATGAAGGTAGTTGTTTTGACAGTAGCCCTAATTCAGAGTTGTAAAATGGTTGAAAGTTTCTTTTCTCAAAGTTAAAATTAATAGCTATAGCCACTGGTTTAGAAGTGCACGGTACATGCACTTGTGTATAGGTGGATGTGAATATTCCCACAGACACGTTGTAAACTGGGAGGAGAAATTGTGTAGCTCAAGCATTTGAAGGGTGGCTCAGTAGATCCACCTGGGTTGTTTCCTTAGATGAGTCCCGTCCCCATTTGGTTCACACTTAATGGAAAAAGGACCAGTGAGGGTTCATTATTATACAGAGAAAGGCGGCATGTCACCATAACATACTGCCTTTTACCTCGCTGTTTTTTTTTGAACTCTTGCAATCCAGATCGCACCAGGTGAAGTGGAATAATCCACACTGCCCTAAAGGTAGCTGCCTGTATTATTCCGTGTGCTGCAGCACGAGCTCAGATGTCCTCCGCCGCCGTGCTCCACCACACTGACAGTCACCCTTTACTTTGGATTGCTCAACCCAACTGCAACTTACTCACCAGTCACCCTCGGGGTTATTGGTAAAGGATAGAAATTTTCATCTTAATGCATTTTGTGATGCGGCTTTTTCCTTTGATGTCCAAATGAGAGCACAATTCCCTTCTTGGAATGGTGAGCAGGAGGGCTCAGCAGGACAGATGGCGAAGGTCTGGCTGCACTCCCTCCGACTCAGAAAGTAGACGTGACAGCGGTTGGGGCTTCTGTGAGACAAGATAACGTGTTATTTGTAACCAGAATTGGGCAGAGGCAGCCCAAGACTTGGCTAGGGATGGAGTTGGGTTGTACCAGTGAGACAATTGTGGGTTCCCAACGAAGAATTCCAAGAATCCAGATTCTATAGAGGCCTTCTTGTAAGAGAGTAAATCAAACAAAGCAATAAGGTTCATTCTTGTAAAAAACATATGACAGACGTGTTATAACACGGGGCCTGACTCACCCCCCATTCCTGTGGAAGGCTTCCTGCCGTCGCAGCTCACTGGTGCCCCCTGGTGGCACTCGGGCCACCTCGCACTTCACTGCCTTGAGAACTCAAGGGTGAACAAGGGCAAACTTTTTTTATGAAGCCTATTGGTACATTTTATGTACAGATTGATCACACTCATCATTGGGTACTTGTACCTGTACATGCAGTATCTTGGTTCTTCTTCCCCATTCCCCTGCCCTCCCACCCCTCCACCCCTATTTACAAAAACTTTTTTTCTCCTTCTTTTCTTGTATTTTTTCTTTCCCTTCTTTCCTTTCCCCTACCCCCATACTTCCCCTTCCCCTTTGGACCTTTCCTTCTTTTAAATTTCCAGGTTTGGAGGGTGCACTTGTTTAGATTTTATTCAGGTTTCTGTCTCATTCTTTTTCTCATTTGTTTTAGGCCAAAGAACTGCCAACTTTAAAGGATAATGATTTCATTAATGAGGGCCAAAAGATTTATATTGATGACAGTAACAAAAAGGTGTTCCTGGAAAAACTGAAAAAGGATGTCGAGGTAAGAAAAAGCAATAGAAAGTACAATGCCATTGTCTCAGCTGTTGGTTTTTAGGCACTTTGTAAGCTGTCTGTTAAAATCTGCAACCAAGGCGAAAGTGGACATGTTCTGCCTTCTCCGCTCCTGTAGAAACAAACACACCGCATGTGGTGCGATCTGGTTTTAAAATGCAGTCTACCAGTGTAGGATGACCGACTCCAGAAAGGCCTGTTGCCTTTCCGGGGGCGTCCCACCCTCGGGCCCCTCTGCCTGGGCTGGCGCTGGCCTGTGGTCCTCACAGCTGCCAGAGTGTGGGAGGGCAGCCTGCTGGATCTGCCACACGGCATGGCAGAGATCCATGTTTAGTAACTGCAGTCTTGGCCTTCTGCCCTCTGAGCCACATCTCAGAGTTGGTCGACGCCGACTCAGAGCTTAGCGCTCTAGTGTTTCCACCAGCCGCCATGAACAGGGCCCGGGCCTCCCTGTGTCCAGGCCAGCACGGGGCAGTTTGGATGCACAGCTCACGGGGGCTTTGAGTCTGTCACACAGTTCCTTGTTAAATACTGTCCTGTTTGAGAATTAAAATATACCTCTTCCTGTCACTTTGTTGGGCGTAAAAGCATTACCGCTTTCCTGTTGGAACGCTTGTTTAATTCTGTTAGAGATAGAGTCAGTAAAAGATTTGTTTTCTTCGAATGTGTTGTTACATGGTGGCGCAGAGAGAATTCTAATTTAAGCAATTACCAGACTAGGTCCTTTCTTGGCTGTTACTTTTGTTCCGGCGGGCACACTTTTTTCTCTTTACTTTGAAGTACTGTTCCCCACATACTAAGGTCTGCTACTTAGAAGCTTTGGAGAAAGATTTTTTCATATCATTAAACAAAAACAATTAAAATGACTAGAGCCAAAGAATGAATGTCATGCATTTGATCCCCCACAAAGGTGGTGCAGTATTTTAATTTCCTTTTTAATCTAATAGCTCTTTTCGTAGCAAGATACTCAACCTGACCAAGTTCATTGCTAATTATTTTTAGATCATTTAATGAAATTTTTTTACATTATTTTAACCTTCATAGCCTACGTCCTTGGATTAGAACATAAATATTTGTTATTTTTGAAGGACATAAGTGCCTAATTCAAAAACAACTATGTAGGTACAGGTGTTTGCTTTTAGCATGTAACTTTTCCAGTCTTTTTGTTAAGAAGCATTTATTTTTCCTCAGTCATCCGTGGTTACTATTAAAATGCATGTTAAGCATTTCCTCTTTTGTGTGTGTGTGTGTGTGTAACGGGGATTGAACTCTAGACCTTGTCCTTGCAAGGCAGGCACGGTGCCATTGAGCTAAATCCCCGGCCCTGCTCTTTACTTTGGAGTCAACTTGATCTAACTGATAATTAAGTAGAGTACCATACAGGAGATACTCTTCTGGATTTTTACTGATTAATCAACAAATCTTTCATCCTGAGAATAATATTATTTTAGCGATTATAGTAAATGGCCCTTTGGATTATCTGCAACCTGCCCCTCAAAGTTATTTTCATTTTCTTTTCTGTTGGCTGTATATCACCATGATGTTAAGCCTCCAGAAATAATGTGACTCAGGCAGTTCAAACTTGGAGTTGAATTACATGAGGATCCTCTTAGCCCTTTTGTTGAATCTAATAATGTCGTTGATTAAAGGATTGGATAGTTTAATCCCATACACGGCTCTCACACTTAGCTGTTTTGTTGAAATGGAGACGGAGTATAAAGTGTTCTTTCATTAAAAAATTTCTTCAATGGCTGATAACAGTGTCTTTAGTTTTGAAATTCATGTAGAAGCATCATTAAATTTTTAACCAGGTAATTATGGCGAAGTGGCTTGACATCTGATCTTGACAGTGAGACCAGAATTTAATCTGGTTTTCTTTTTTCATCAGTTCCACTCTTTTCAATGTGGCTGACTGGACTGACTACTAAGGTTGGGCTAGATTTTTGTTGTTATTTTTGTTGTTTGTTTTCTTTCCCTAATGCTTAAGTAGGTATTAAGTTTGTTGCAGCTCAATACACAATCTGGGGTTTTTCAATAAAAGTCATTTGAGATTCTAGCGGCTTCTTTCTACGATAGAAATTCTGTCCTGTTCATATGAGATGCTGGGTGCTGTAGCCTAATAGCTTTGCACGTGACTAAACATGTATGCTCTTTTCTACGAAAAGGGAGGACCGTGCTCTGCAGAGAATGCAGATCACTGCTGTCTTCCCTGCTGGTCAGAGCAGATTGTCACCTTGGTCACCTCTGTCGGCTTACACCGAGCTGCTCCTGTCACTCCGCAGTGGTGCCCAGAGCACCCTCTTCACCACGCGCCCCTCACCTGCCTCATGTTGGTGGCCACGCGGCCGTGAATGAGAAGGAAGGAGATCAGGTGCAGGGGACATGGAGTGGGTGGGTGGCAGCCAACATTTACGGAGTGCCCAGAACCTCAGCCTTTCTCATGAAGTCTTTATCTTTTTGTCAGTACTGGGAATTGACCCCAAGGCCTTTATCAAGCTGCAGCCCCGGCTCTGGTTTATTTTTGAGACCGGGACTCACTGAACTGCCCGGGCTAGCCTCAAGTTTGAGATCCTCCTGCCTCACCTCCCCAGAGTACTGGAATAGCTCCATGGGCGTGGGTACTGCTACTGTCCCGGCCTGATGGATGCAACAGCTGCGTTGGGAAGCGGCGTGATAAACTCAAAGACATGCAGCTCCTCGGTTCAGGCCAGGATTTGAGGCTGGCAGAGACCACACTCCTACCTTTGCTGATACAAGGTGTGGGTTAAAAATGCTTGTTGACAGCACAGCGGAGGCTGTTTCTTGGTAAACACTCCAAAGGAAGAAGATCGCAAGTCTTAGCAAGTGTTGAGATGTTAAATGGGGCCAAGGAGAATTTTAATTTACATCTGAGATGTGTCAGGAGATGGCGACTCGGTGAAACAAGGGTGTTGATAAAGTTAGCAGAGTTCCTTTGAACCTGCTGTGAAGGAGCGGTCACTGCTCCTCAGCCGCGCGGTCTTGACAGGATGCGTGGACCATGGCAGAGATGGAACTGGTGCAGATAGGGCACAGGCTGGGAGGCTCCGTGGCAGAGTGCTCGCCCGACACGTGTGAGGCCCTGGGTTCCATCTTCATTACCCCAAAAAAAGATTTGGCTTAATTAGTTGAGAAGCATTCAGATCAGAGAGAGAAAAAGAGGTACATCAGGGATCGGTTCATTCATTATTAAGACCTTAGAAGTTTGGAAAACCAGGGAAACTAAAGATAAAAATCTTCACACTTTGAAATCTTACGTACTTCAGAGATAAATATAAAGGGACGGGATTTAGCTCAACGGCACCACCGCCTGCCTCGAAAGCACAAGGACCCGAGTTCGATCCCCAGTACCCCCCAAAATTAAAAAATAATAAATATACGAGTTTAGATGCTTAAAAGGATGAACGGGGAGGGAAAAAAGAGCAAACACAGTCCTTCTTCCCACCCTCGGCTCCCGGTCCACAGCAGTGTCATGATTCCCTGTTCAAAGAGTGGACTTCTCGAGGCATAGAGCTAGGGACAGACGAGACTCAGCCTCCTCTGACTCCCTGGGCTGCTTCAGCCTGTCTGAGGCTGGGCCGTGGCTCAGTGACAGAGTGCTTGCTTCCTAGGCTGCAGGCCATGGGCCCCGTCCCCAGCACCTCACAAAAAGGGAAGTGGGTATTTTAATTGGAGAACAGTGAATGGGTCTTTCTTATCAGCAAAACCTTACTCATAACCCCTGTGTTCTGCTGTCTTTCCTCTTTCTACCCCAGTCTCGTAGATTGGAAAACACACATGGTATCAGATTTCCTTGGTCCTCTGGGCCGTGGACTGGCTTCCCTCCTGAGAGGTGTGTTTCTTTCACTGTGGGTTTTGTGGGTACCCTTAAAACGTAACCACCCTTTGCCTCTTCCTTACTGGAGGCAGAGCCTAAGCAGGGTCTGACCACAGGCCTGAGGCCCAGGAAAGTCGCTCAGGGCTCCAGGGATAGCTCGGCCACGGAGCTTGCCTACTTAGGGTCACCGGCGGCCAGGTTCTTCACAGGAAGCTCCTGACTCGTGGACCTACAGCACACTGGACTCGACGTACACGGGAAGGTCAGAGAGTAGCAAGGGCGTGTCCTGCAGAGGGCTGAGCAGGGCACTGGCAGGAGTTTCTGTGTTGCTATGCTTCTGCTTCTCGGTTTGGGTAGTTTGACAGGAAGTGGGGGGAGGAACTGGGCAGTGTTGGGAGGTGCGAAGAAGCAGCAGGCCGTGCATTCGCTTGTCTGAACCCCCAACCTGCTCAGGGTCAGGAATGCCCCGAGCAAACTAGCCAGAGACCCTTGTGAGCTTCGTGGCTGGGAGGAGGAGTCACCAGCCAAGGGCCTCGTGGAGAAGTGTGCACTGCCCGGGTCCCCGACAGGTGCCCCTGTAGCTGCCACCTGGGTGTCCAGGAGGAGGTGCCTGGGTGCAGGCGGGAGGCCAGGAGGGGTGGGAAGAGCCGCTGACCACGTGACAGCTGTTTCTGCCCTGAGAAAAGGGACGTCATTGCAAGGGCTTCAGCAGAAGCATGGCATGGCCAGATTTGCACTTTGAAAACAGCTTCCCTTTGTGGAGGTCTAGAGGGGGAGGTTCCGACGCACCCGACCGTGGCCGCTTCACAGGGACATTCCGGGGCCGGCCCCGGAGTGTGGGATGGGGAGAAGGACCTTTCCCTGCCCCTGCGCAAGCTCAGCAGGGCCTAGCCCGGCCGGGTCCCACCCTCCCCCATGCCCAGCACCCAGGGACTCGGGTGGTGCTGCCACCTGCAGCAGAGGGGCATCCAGGGGTGGGGCAGGAGGGGCCAGAGAGACCCTAGATGAAGGGAGAGCCCTGGCACCGTGCTGCATGGCAGGGGCAGTGGAGGAGACAAGGGAGACGCTGGCCCGAGAGCCCAGGGCTGAGCTCGGGCCCGGGGGCCGACAGCGGGGGCAGAATTGAGCGCCTCGCCGGTGGGCGCCTGAGAGCCATGGGACGCGGCCAGATGCTTCTGACGCAGCGTTTCCCAGATGTGCGTCCGAGACCCTAGGCCCGCGGGGCTCGAAGGAAGGGGGAGCAGGACGGGGCTGTGATCTCAGTGGCGGGCGTGGGGCTGGCTCTGGCCCGCTGGAGACTCGTTAATTAGGCATCAGCTGATTTCAGTGCATTGTCTTCTGTCTGAGAATGTAAAGAACGAGGTTTGGGGACAGCCCCAGAGGCGGTGGGAGAGATACCGGAGGTCCCCGGGCCCAAGCGCGGTCGTTTCTGTCTCTGTGAGCCGCGGCACCCCGTCCTCTCCCTACCTACCTAGCCTCGGTGACGGTGACAGCTCAGCTAGCTCCCTGGCCGGCCGGCCTGTGTCGGTGGAGGATGGAAGCCAGCGCTCCTTACATTAGGCGAGCGGTGGCCGCCCCCGGGCCCGTCCCTGACCTCGTGGCGCTGAGCCCAGGACTGCGGGCAGATGGGCAGTGTGGCAGGAGGAGGCCGACCCGGTGGAGGGAGGGCCGTGCGCGTGGCTCCCGCCACCGTTTCAGGGGAGGGGCCTCGGCTTCCCCTCTCTGGGCCCTGAGGACTGGATGGAGGCGTGGGGTTGGGCATGCGCTCAGCGCCCGTTTGGAGAGGAGTTTGCTTCTCTCTGCCTTTAGATGCACACAGCCCTCCTACTTGACTTCAGTATCCAAGTGTAAGGTCTGTATGCGTTATTTTTTTCTGAGCTCAAAACAACTGGGGAACACTTAGCTGGCCCCATGGGGTTTGTGACAGGAAGGCAACTAACCAGGAGCTAAGGACAGGCTGATAGCAGAGCAGGATGCCTGGGCCCATGAGGTGATGGCCTGGGAAGCAGCCTGCTCCCCAGTCCTCTCTTGTCATAGGGAAACACAGCTCCTCAGCTCTGAGCCGGGCTGCTTCCCGCCAGGCTCAGGAAAAAGCAGCAGCCCTGCAGCTCTCCGACACTGGCTTCCTTTCATTTTCAGCCAGGACTCAAGACCTGTAATTTCATGCTCTTGTCGTTTGTGTGTGGGAGCTTGAGCTGCTGTGCGTCCCTGAGCACACATGGTGCCAGCTTCTCCAGCAGTCAGGCCGCGCCTTCTCGGACCCCAAGCCTGAGGCTGGAGTGGAACTGGGCACTGTGCAGAGCCGTCCCTGCGGGGCTCAGGGCCTTGCAGCCCGAAGACTCCGTCAGAGGACCAGGACTGATGAGGAGAGTGCTCTGCATTAATGCCATGTGTCTGATGCATCCCCACTTAGTAAAAAGGAACGGAAACTCAGAGAACCTGGCAGACGGGAATGGGCAAACCCACGAGCTAGGTCTGCCTTCAGGGTGCGCTAGCCATGGCCCTGGCGGCAAAGAGAGGACAGGGCGGGGGTCTCGCAGCGCCTCATGGGAAGCAGAGCGCCTTCCGCATCTTCCGTCGGGTAGGAAAGAGGGACCGCGGCCTCACCGGAGCGTGGGTGTGACTCATCTGCTAGGCCATGAGGCCTGGGCCTCTGCTTGCTCGTGATAGACAATGTGATGGTCTGCTCAGAGTAGGCTGAATTTCCAAGCACTTCGCAAACCATTTGCAGAGGCCCCGCTCGAAGCTACTTGGGAGGTCCCTGGGTTTCCCCGTTAGCCAGTTCTCATTGTTGGGGAACGCTCTCCCTGCCAGGCATGCCCTCCGCCCTTGGGGGTGGTCCGCCCCCCTCATCGGTGGTGCGTGCCTCAGCTACCAGCTTTGCATTTCGGGGAAAATCAGCCCTAAACGGCCTGAAGTGCAGGGCTGGGTTTCAGAAACAGCCTGGAAGGCACAGAGCTGCCCTCAGGGGGGCCCAGCACCCCCAAGCCTCACAGCCCTGTGAGATTCCCTGAGTTCACTCTTTAAATCTGCTGTTCGTTTTTCTTACTTAGCAGTGCCAGAGATTGAGTCCAGGGCCTTCGTACTGAGCTGCATCCCTAGCCCCTTTTTATATTTGTTATTTTGAGACAGGGTCTCGCTGAGTCACTCAGTTGCCGGGCTGGGTTGGAACTTGCGATCCTCAGATGTGCGTTAAATCTGGTGACTGAGACGTAAGCGGCCTGTTACCTCCCTCCTCCAGTTTCTCGCCCAGTTGAAGCTCATGGACTACAGCCTGCTGGTGGGGATCCACGAGGTGGAGAGAGCGGAGCAGGAGGAGGGAGAGTGCGAGGAGACCGAGGGGGCGGCGGAGGAGGAGGGGGAGAGCGACGGCGCCCACCCGGCGGGCACGCCTCCCGACAGCCCCGGGAACACGCTGAACAGCTCCCCGCCCCTGGCTCCCGGCGAGTTCGACCCGAGCATCGACGTGTACGGGATCAAATGCCACGAGAGTAAGTCTGCTCCTGTCCCCGCATTCTGCGTGTGAAGCGCTCTGATTCTTGCATTGTGGTCTGCCGGGAGCCACTGCCCAGTCCCACGTTTGCCGCCCAAGGACATGAGAAAAATCTGTCCTGAGCTAGGCGCACGCGCACTGCGCCCTGACGCTCAGGAAGCACGCGCACGTCGTCACCAGCAGCCGGCCTTCCCCGGGCGCAGTGTGCAGGGCCCAGTGTGCAGGGAGGGTCTGTGAGCCTCTCCTCCTGCCAGACGCCAGTGTCTAGGGGTGGGGATTTGAAGGAAGATTGCATTCTACCTCGTTAGCTACTTCATGAAAAATCCAAAGATTTCTGAGTGGCCCCTTGTTTTTCGAATCATAAAACACATGGGTTTTTTTCAAATCTCGGGTGGTATATATCAAGTGGGTTTGCGTTGGGTTTTGCTCAATTTTTATGTCGCTCACCAAAATTGCTTCTCTGCGGAAAATTAGATGTAGAACACATGCATTTTTTTACCATTTATAACTAAAACATATTTTTGAAAATAGATAAAAAGTTGAGAATTAATAAGCATAATTCGTTCTATGGGGTTTAGAGAGTATTTTAAAAATAGCATTTTCTTTACACCAAAGCAGTACGCTATAATTAACATCCAGATTAATAAGCAAAACTAAAAGCACTCAATCCCACACTTGGACCCTGTCAGCATTCTAGGGTTATGATGTCGCCTTTTAAATTTTTAATTGGAAAGAAGACTGGGCCCAGGGAGCCAGGCAGGAACCACGGTTCATTTCGTTCGCCACCAGCTGCCGTCCTGTACGCCACAGTCACTGCCGCCCTCCGTTTCAGATTCGCCCAGGAAAGAGGTGTACTTCATGGCCATTATTGACATCCTCACTCATTACGATGCCAAGAAGAAAGCTGCCCACGCCGCAAAAACTGTTAAACACGGAGTGAGTATCTCAAGGGCCCCTCCTGTGTGTCCGTCCCCACTGCTGTCAGGCAGGGACCACTCCCTTCTGCTGCCGGCCTGTCTGCCCAGGGTTCCCATCCTCTGGGGAGGTGGCTCTCCTGAGGGGGATGCACTCCAAGTGCAAGGCTCAGCGCCCACATGTGCAGCCACTCCTCCCTCTCCCGTGACAGCTGTGGCTCTCACACGTCGCTTACAGGTGCCCCCATATGGGGGGGCACCAGCAGCCTGGGCCGTACTAGAACATGACTGAGATTCTTCTGTGAAAAACACCCTAAAGAGGAAAGAAATATTTCTCTTCTGAAGTATTCTAAACTGAAACAGCATTCTCCAAATTGTATTTCCTTTCTCACATTGAATTGTATCTTTTCTATTCTAGAAATCTTTTGAATATTAGATCAAAGTCTCCTGTGTTAATTCATCACCTGTGTCATACGTGCTCAGAATTGTTAATTCTAGGCAGCTGTTAACCTCTTCAGTCCCCGTGACAGGCCTGTGAGGAAGATTCTGGTGTATCCCCTATCACTAGGAGAAACTGAGGAAGGCAGCCACAGGAGTCACTTGCCAGGCAGGGGGACCTGAGGCTCCTCCCAGGCCCTGCTGGCTGAATGTCACAGCTGCTGTGTCCGTCCTCCGTGTGCGATGTGGGGACCCCGGAGAGCCCGCCTCTCACAGGGGGACTCGGCCCTGTTGACTCCCACTGGCGGGAGAGGTGCCTCCCACAGACTGTCTGGAGCCGACTGAGATGCGCCAGAACAAACAAGCTCAGCTAAAGGCTCTTTGTCATCCCAGAGATGGAGCCAGCCTAAAACCATATTCCCTTTGCCAAAGGCGTACTTCTGTGGTACCGTGGAGTGAGAGCTGGGGTCCTCCTGCCCTGTGCAGGTGCAGCCCGAGGGACCTCGCGAGGCCTTCCTTGGGCCCTTGAGCACGTCAGTGAGAGAGCTGTGAAACCACTCAACCACCAGCACCGTCTGTGTGCCTTTTCTTTTTGCAGGAACTAGGAATCAAACCCAGGGGTGCTTTGCCACTGAGCTGCACCCCAGCCCTTTTTCTACTTCATTCTGATGCGGGGTCCCACTCAGTTGCCCTACCTGGCCTCAAACTTGCAGTTCCCTGGCCTCAGCCTCCCACGTACCTGCAGCTGCAGGCAGGTACCACCACGCCTGGCTCTGAGCCCTGTTTCCAAACTGTGCTCGTGCCAGGTAGGCTGCCTCCTCTCCAGGTTCCGAGCCCAGCTCAGGGATGGAGGGAGGAGTCGTCCGAAGGCCCCATGGTATTTCTGATGCTCGGCTAAGCGGAAACCACGGATGCCTTGGGGAGACAGACCTGGGCAGAACCCCTGTGTCTCCACTCCCACTGGAGTGGCTTTGAGGAGACGCTCTTCAAGCTTCAGTTCCCTCCACTGACGCAGGGTCCAGTGCCTCGCCTGCTTGGGTTTTCTGGGAGGATATTTGAGTGGGTGACCAGGCCAGGCTCAGGGTGGGTGTTTTCTATGTGTCCATTCCTACACTGTCCACAGCAGGAAGTGGGAGCGTGTGGTGGCCAGCATGGCTCTGTGTCAGTCTCCCAAATTAGTTAGCAGTTTAGCTCCATAACCTGCAACACGGCCGAGTCCTGAGTGGGCTGCAAGGACAAACCCATACTCTTAGCCAGAGTGTCATGTTGAGCTGCTGTCAGGGGTCATCTCTGCCCTCAGGGGCCACTGCGGGGAGAGCCCAGCACCTCGGGCCTCAGAGTTGCAAGTTTGCCCACCAATATGTGTATAGAAAAGGTAGCACCCAGTGAGTCGAGCTCTGGCCTTGCCCTTCGCAGCCCATGAACCTGGGCAGTGACTGCTTGCATGCGCTGGCCAGCTCTATGCCAGGGCCAGGCTTCGCTGCTCCGTGTGGGTCCCTGGGAAGGGAAATGGGGGCACCCTGGGGCCTGCTGGAAGGAGCCTGGCCAGCTCCCCCAGGATCTGCCACTCTCTCTCGTTGTCCCTTGTCCTTGGGCACCAAACCACTCTCCTCACAAACTAAGAGGGTCCTGGAAAAGTAATGCAGCCCCGGACGTTGTCACCACGGCCTCCCTTTTGTCAGATGGGTGTTTCTGTCATTCCCAGAGTCTCCAGTCTGCCTTCTTGGAAGATCAAGGTGTTGTTCCCAGGCCCCAGAACCTGAGCCGCACATTCCACACGTCCGAGCATGGCTAATTGCGGATTTTAAGTTACCGCTGCCTCACGGGTGTATAATAGACTCTGGTGCTGCCGCCAGCCATGGCCTCATTTCGGACGCAGGTTCCCAAGTCTTGAATACCTGGCCAGATAACCACAGTATTTGGAATTATGGTTTAAGAGAAGAGACTCGAATGTTACTCGCTTGCAGGCTAGAAGTGTAGCTCAGGGGTAGAGCACTTGCCTAGCACACACAAGGCCCTGGGTTCCATCCCTAGCACCATTTAAAACTATGTATTAACTTTATATTCAGTTACAATTGGAAATAGCTGTAGATGCTGAGTAATAATTTGAGGAAAATCAGCAACATTATATCAATGTTCCTTTTCCTTTAAAACTGCCCAGGCTGGAGCGGAGATCTCAACAGTGAACCCAGAACAGTATTCAAAGCGCTTTTTGGACTTTATTGGCCACATCTTGACGTAACCTCCTGCACAGCCTTGGGTGGGCACGAACGCGGGAAGAGCAGAGGTGGCTCTGGTGGAGGAAAAGTAAAAACCAAACTCAATGAAGCGCTCACATTGCAGGAAGCAAACCTCCTTGTTTACATCTTCGGGCCAAGATGACTGATCGAGGGGCTACTCGCTTTAACAGCTACCTGGTATTTCCCAGCATTGTTCTAGCTATTTCAGAATCCGTGTGTGGGCGTGCTCGCGTGCACATTTTTAATTAAGTAAGTAAAATGGATCAGCTTGACTCAGAAGGAACCCTCAGGTTCCAGCTGTGGCCGAAGGAATGGGCACATGGGGGAAGCCAGAAGGAAGAGCATGTCAGAGCACGCATGTCGGCATCAGCTGATAGACTATGGATGGGTTTATGTTTTTGAGTTGAAAGATGTGAGACAGTATTCAAAATAATAATGAAGATAATAATAATGATGATGATTAAAAGGAAAAAAGAAATCACTGCACATGTTCCACTCTGCCCTGCACGCACACCCCTTAATAGCGGTCACCAGCCCCCGGCGCCAGGCCGAAGAATGCCGGTGTCTCCGTGTGTACTGGCGTGGGGTTCTGTCCCCACACTGTCAAGGTCCCCAGTGGCCCGGAATAACCCTCCTCCCCCTCCGAGAGGCCAATGCCATGGGACGCTTGTCTACATTTTCACCTCCATAAATACGTCTGGGAAGACTGCTTGCTTCTCTCTCCTTGCCTGGAGACTCTTCGCTGTTACACCCTCCTGTTGCAGTGTAGGAATTCACGCTACAAACAAGACAGAGCTTCCCTGAGAGCTGCATAGTTTGGGGCAATGGTAGCTACATCTCCCGCTCTCTGTTCTCCTGTGACCCAGTGCAAATCCGAATTCTCAGAGGTTTATGTTTGATCACTGTTTTAAACAGCGGTATTTTGTTACGAATTATCCCTTTGACTGAACCCCTCGGTTTTACTGTTTACATTATTAGGAAAACAGGGATATTTTTGAATCTAAAAATTTAACATACAGCATGTGATTTTTGAAGTTTACATGAAAAGTCATTTTACAGTGTAGGTGAAATAATGTTTGTCCTATTCTGAAATGGTATCCTGCAGTCCTGTTTTTGAGTGAATGTTTTGTTCAAAGTACACGGTAGACAGTCTTTTACAATAAAAGGATAAAGATTGTTTTGTTTCCTCCAAATGCACATTTATGGACCTGATCTTTTTTTTAAAGCAAAAGATTGAACTTGAATCTGGTTATGTAAGTTCATTGCCCTAAACTGTGCTGATTGTGTTTAATCAAGTTAAAAATCTCCAGCATCGACTGTGTATCTACTAGCTTTCCTGCATTGTCCAAAAGGTGACAAGTTACAAATATTAGTCTTGCTTAGAGTAGGTTATCGACTTACATGCTGTGCTAAGCTGTGCCTTTAAAACTCTTCGTTGAGAACATGAGATGGTTTTTTGTAGGCAGTTTCAGAAAAAGGAAAAGAAAATCCATCCTTCAGTAATCACCTACAGCTCCAGACCTCGCCAGACTGCCTTTCCGGTCCCTCCACTTCCGGGCTCTAGGCACAGCTGTGCCGTCTGTGCGGGCTGCCTTCACTGCGACTTTGGGAGCAGCAGCAATGCCATCTGACTGCTATTGACTGACTGTGCGTTGATCCGCTGCCCAGTGCTGTTAGCTTCCCTGTAACATAGCTGCACAGACCTGGACTTTATGGACTCAGTTAAGCGATGCTATGATCTGGTTCCCCAGCCCCCACCGCTGCGCCATTAATTCCGGCATCAGATCCATTTTGGTGTCCTGAAGCTGTGTGGTCCCTTTGACCCAAGACTTACACATGAGAGACCGTGAAGTAAAGACAAGGTATACATACATTCATGATTTGACTGTTTCCTTTGTGGCCAATCTGTATGCTTTTAGAAGTTTACACAATGCTTTGTTTTTGTCTGTAACTGTCTCTGTCATCCATTCCCATTGATACGCTGTGTGGACAGAGTGAAGAGTTTGCCTCTGTCTCCTAGTGCTAACCATACACTCCAGTCTTGAGCCAGGCTTTACAAAATAAAGCACTTTGATGACTCTCAAGGTGGAGCCCCGATTCCTCTGTGTTAGTTGTGTTTCTCTCTGTGGCGGACAGATTGTGCATGCTCACTCCTGAGAGGACCTGCAGCCGATCCAGGAAGAGGTAAAAGTGAAATGAATCTTTTCCATTTCTGAGGCTCGGCTTCAGTGTGTGAGCTATGTTATCCACAAATAATACTAACTTCCATGACAAAGCTGACTTCTGGCAAAATGGGCAGAAAAACAAATGCCTTCAGTGAATACCCGAGAAAGTCATATGGTCATTTTCAGTTCTGCTCAACCTGGGTTCCATTGGCCAGCAGTTTGGGAAATGTGATCGGGATCCCACAGGTGACGAGGCGGCCCTTCTTTTGGAGTCCACCATCATGGGCCCTGGTGAGCCCACGCAGACCTACGATAGCACTTGTTCTGAAAAATGTCCTTTCCATTACAATAATAGAGAAGCGTTTAAACACAGTACACGTTTCATGTTTTTTGTGAGCAGTTTGGTCCACCAGGAACTTGGAGTCAACACAGGAAACGACACCCACACGGGGCGTCCTGGCAGCCTGCCTAGCACCAGCAGTACTGAGCCACACGACGCACACACCTCAGACATCCGCAGACCTCTGGCCACTGCAGGCGTGATCTGTCACAGCTCTCTGGCTGATTTCACATCTCTCCTTCCCCTGCCCTTTACAGCAACAGGATCTGCACTCCATCAGTGGCCACTGCCACAAGTACCACTCGGGTCTTTTGCAAGGTTGCTGTGTTGTTTATTTCGGTATTTGTATTTCCTAAGCTTTTATCATGTTTGAAACTATGCTTCTGTTTTTATATGGGTTTTTTTTTAGATGTGTAACTGGTTAAGTTTTGGGGTCGTGTCCTTAGTTCTAGTTTCCTCATAAGATCTGTGGTTTCTTTTGCATCCTTTTGCCCTAGAAACATAAATGTCACAATATTGCAGGACTGGCTGCTGTGAGCAGGGAGTTTTGATTCCTTTTGTGCACACGCATGTGTGTGCGTGTGAAATTTGAATATGGATACTCATTTTCCCTTGTGATTAATTTCTTGAGTTGAACATATCCTAGTCCCAGGAAATAGTTATTTCTGATTCAGACAAGCACAAAAGTTGGAAGGAAGCATTAATCCTTAGTGCAAAACTTTTGGAAATAGTAGTTTAAGTTCAGGATGAGCAGTAGGGAGTAGTATGCAGTGAAGTACTCGTGTAGAGAGTGTGCACATGGATGTGAGCCCCAGAAGTCAAACAGAACTGAGCTCAGTGGAACTCCTGATATCAGAGCCTCTGAGGGCCCTTAGCACCACCACGTGCAGCCTACACCTAGGAATTTGAATGGGCACAGAATCAGTGATCGTAGTTACTATTGTATTACTTCGAGCTCTAAAAGTAACTGGCCCCCATCTTTTCCTTGATCTCCATCTTCTTGACATTGTATTCAGCCTCAGTCATGATGTTGAGATTACGATACTAAAGACTTCATTTTTTTTTTTTTCCCATAAAGGGCAGAAACTCAGCTGTCTTTTGAACTCCCATTCTCAGGAGCCCCCTACTGCAATAGTTTGGATCTTGACTGTCCTCCAAGGGCCCATGTGTTGAACACCTGGTCCCCAGCCTGAGATGCCTATTTAGAGGTACTGAAGAGGTAGGGCTTAGTGGAAGGAAGCCAGGTCCCTGGGGCTGTGCCCTTAAAGGGGATATTGAGACCCTGGTCCCTCCTGTCCTTGTATCTGCTTCCCAGATGACATGAGATGGCCTCCTCCACCATGTGTCTCATCACAATAGACTGCCACCACAGGCCTAAAGCAATGGGGCCAATCAGCCATGGACTGAAACCTCTGAAACCATGAGCCACCATAAACCTTTAAGTTGATTGCCTCAGGTGTTTTGTTTCAGTAACAGAAAGCTGACTAGCACACCCACATAACCTTGTTCAGCCTCTGGCCAGCCTTCCTTTGATGCCCTTTCCATTATTCTGAACTGATGTCTTTAAACTGCCAGCACATCGAGGAAGCGCTCAGTAAAGTGGCCCAAAAGCTACTGAAATGTACCAGGAAAATTATTGAAAGTTCTTTCATCAAAGAAAACCTAAAGAGTAGAATACCATTTTATCAAAACTGAATGCCTTTTAGAAGTTTGTTCCAGCTCTGTTTCCCATTCTGTGAAAATACGCCAAAGAGCAGCTAAACACCAGAGTTTGTAATTTCCTCTGACTTTTAAACACTGTTCAGTTTAATTCCATAAGACAGGACAAAAGATTAGTTTCCTAGAATGGGCTGCCATAGATCTGTGTTTTATAATATCCCACACTTTTTGCTACAAGAAGTATTTGAGATGAGGAAAGTGTTAATCTAAGTAACAACAGAGAATGGTTCTTTGTGATTGAAAAATGATTTTTTTCAGTCATGAGCAGAATATGGCAATCTGAAGTATGTGTGCCATCATTTGGGGAAGCAAAGAGTTTTCTAAGGTTAAACAAACAGGGTTAAGGGTTAAATAACAAGGGTGCCTTGAGCCCGGGGTTGAGTAGGCAGTTGCTGAACAGATGTCCCTGCAGAGGCGTTGGGGTAGACTTTGTGTAATGGGATTTTCAGGGAAGCCCTTGTAATAGGACCATAAGTATGAGTGCATGAGAGCGCCTCCTTTGTGGTCTCCCTGCTTCATGTAGTTGGAGTCTTACATCAGTGACTCCATTTTGCCTGGAGAAGCTGTGTGACTTATGTAAGGTCACAGTGCTTAGAGGCAAAGCTGAGGTTCGAACCCACTGCTCTCCTCCAGCTCAGGAGCAGGAGCTGAATGTGTGGGCCCATGGACCTGGGGGCTCTTGACAGTCTCTGGGACCTCACCTTCACCTTGTGAGATTCCTCTGTAGAATTTCATTTCCTTTTTCTCATAGTCCAGTGGTTTGTTGTCGCTGCTGCTCTTTTATCCCCCTTTTTTCAATCAAGGATCTCACTGAGGAACATAAAATATTCCTAGACCTGCTGAACAATAGTCTCTGGAGGTGGGACTTGGAAATATATCAGTAAGATATGCTTCCTAGGTGCTTCTCACGGATCTGGAAACGGTTAGGATCTCCCAGTGAAGACCAGTTTTTATATTAACATGGTCCTAATATATTAACATGGTCCTCTCTCACAGATTAGAGCAGAATTCAGCAAACCACAGCCTGAGGACCAAATCCAGGCCACTGCATGATTTGTATTGTAAATAAAGTTTTATTGGAACACAACCATCCCCTGCCATTTAGTATTTTCTGACTTTTCAGCCTCCAGGGGCAGAGTCGTAATTGTGACAGACTTTATGGCCCAAACGTTTATTGTCTAGTCCTTTACAGGAGAAGTTAGCTGGCCCCTAAGGTAGAGCCTCTTTTTAGTATTACAGGGTTGTTTCTGCAGAACCATGGGCTTCGGTTCTTTCACGTGTTTCTGCATCCATGATAGACTTAAAGCAGTTTGAAAAGCTTGTCAGCAAAATTAAATATTAAAAAATCATAATGTTTAGGGCTGAATAAATGAACGCTTTTAATACCCCTGTCATAAATGCATCCAGTGGCTTTGACAAGTGTCTAGTTCCACCTGTCCCTTAGTTTTCAAACCAGAGTGCTAGGCTTCTGAGGTTTTGGTTTTAAAAAGAAAAAAATGACCCTGAACTTTAGAACATGCAACAAGTCAGCTCACCTTCCCGACTCCTGTGGCCCACTGGTTCCTGTGTCCATTCCACGTACTAGCACCTGCAGAATATTTACTCTGATTAGATCGTTGGTCCTCAGTCTTCAGAATTAGGATAATAAAATCCCGTAATGGGTGGTTATCTCGTGTGCTGTCCAATTCCAGGGTTTTCTGATCTTATGAAACTTGTATCCCTGTGTTGTCTTGTCTGTCCCTGGACCCCCACGTCATCCACAGAGAACCGACCTCACTAAAGCTGTTGCACCTTGTACTGAAGTTATATGCCTGGCTTTTGAATTTGTGTCTCAGTAATTGCTGTGGCTTTTTTTTTTCCCCGTTAAGACAGGGTCTTGCTAAGCCACTAAGTTGCCTAGGCTGAGCTCAAACTTAGCACCGTCCTGCCTCTGCCTCCCAATCCTAGTTATCGGTTATCGTAAATTGGCATCACAGTTACTAGTGGAAGTTGCCTGCCTGTGAAACCTTTAGAAAGGGTCATGGATTCAGTTGTCCACTTTGCTAAAATCCTATAAAAACAGATGGTTGAGCTCTTCGACATATGTGATGTTTTATTTTCTCAAGAAACAACTTTAATATCACTTACATGCTGTTGTTTTTGTGGTGCAGGGGATCAAATCCAGGGCCTCACATGTGCGAACTCAATTATCTTCTGCTGCGCTGTCTCACAGCCCCTCACACACTTGAATTTCTTTGGTCCCATAGAATTCTGGCTAAGGCTTTTGTAGCAGCTGCTATGTGCAATCTTTACTTAATTTTAATAAGATAATAAGGCTTAAATATAAGAACGTGAGAGGACTGTGTTTACCTAGCCATCCCTGGAGCGTCCTAACAGTGTGAGAGCCAGTGGCTGACCAGCGTGTGGCCTCAGTGCCCTTCCATCTCACATCGTGCTCTAGTTGTTCTCCTACATTTTTTTTTTTTTTTTTGGTACCAGGGATCGAACTCAGGTCCTTGCACTTGAAGGGCAGACGGCAGAACCACTGATCTAAATCCCCGGCCCATTCTCCTACATTTTAAAACTCAGATTTGGCTGAGCAGAATAAAAGAGTTTTCCTTTCAGTTTCTGGGCATGAAATCTATTCTCCTACCCCGTTTTTGGTTTTTTGTTTTGCTTTGATTTTTTTTCTAGATAGCGGTATGGATTTAGTGAAAATCGGGCCTTTTTAAGTCTCAGTAAATAGACAAATTACCACGGAGTTGGTAAGAGGGTGGTGTTGTGGTGAATGCGGACGCACATCAGGGCCTACAAAGGATGAGATCTTCCCACTCTGAGCACAGATTTCTAAGCAAACCCTTAGGTTCAACTGTGAAGATATTTTCTTTCTTTTAA